CAACCCCCCCAACCCCCCCAACCCCAAAATACTCCTCTTTACCCCCTACTGTTCTCTCCACAAACACTTGCCTCCTCCTAGGTATGTGTAAGACAAGTGGTCATATAAAGCCTCCTAGACTGTAATGGACAGTGACGGTTTTATAGCTGACCATTACACAACTAGGTCTTGCCAGTGTAATTAGGGCCTGATGACCAGGGTTGTAATGTCCAGTAGATAAGCAAGCAATGACCATTACTTCGGACAGGTCAGATGTATCACTAAGAGGAGATGCTCATTTAGTTTGTACTGGAATATTGGACCAGTCAGTGTTACACTAGATACAGGGGTCTGTAAAACTTTACAAGGATACTTGTGATACTGGACACTTTGACTGGTCAGTGTAGCGGTCAGTGTAGCACAAAGGTAGGTATTCTTACTCACATGATGGTTATGTATGGTAAGCCCATGCCTGGTAATAAGCCCATCCAAATCTATAACATTTCAGTAAAAGTGAGAGCTTATGCTATTTCATTGTCCTGTTGTAAGCTCACCCGGTTACTTTGAGAGACAGAAAATGTTTGGCCATCTGATTTCTAGGATATATACTGAATGCATTTCTGCTAAGCATTGCATCTGGATGTGGGTCATTATATTTGAATGTCAGTGGGTAACTACAGAATAAAAAGCAAACAATAGAAATAACATTTTGATGACAGACAAGTTACGATAGCTAAAAGTGTATCATTGGTCTGAAGTTTTAGACATTTCTGTAAACTTTTACTATTGTATAGTAAAAGTTAGGATTTCTGGGGGGGGGGGGGGGGGGGGGGGTCATGTTAATCTGTTTTGTTAAGGAACAAGGAAATAATTATAAAAAAGAAGGAAGCACATAGTGATATTCCAGTGAAACAGGAACAATTTACTATGTGATACATTATGAGCTCTGTCATGATAGAACGAATCCCTGTATTACGATCTACACCTTGGTTACAACCTCAGGACTGGCCATGCTGGCCATGGTCAACCAAGTGTTCACCTTCACTGGACCAGAGTCCCTACCCTGACATGTACAGATGAGTTTGTCACTTGGGTGGTCATTTCAGCATGACAAGAAGGAAATAGTAAAGGATTTCTAACGTGGCTGGTCTCCGTGAAGTCTGCATCTGTTGAGAAGAGTTTACTAAAAAAAAATGGGGGGAAGTTGAAATATGAATTATTTTTCTTTTGCTTCAGATTACAATAACATACATGTAAATATTGTGAGATGTATGTTGAGATTTGTCATTTAGAATGAATATGTCTGATAGGTTTTCAACAGTAAATATTAGGGTTAGATATCTATGTATTATATTGCTCTAGTTGACATTCACTACTAATATATATAAACTGTATTTACTTTACAACAGATGTGAAATAAGTTATTACAACCTAATTTATCACTCTTATTGGACCGAATGTTAGCATGCAGGGGTTCTTAATGTGGGAGTAGTACCTGGAGAAAACCCACATGGTACGGCAGGTGACCCAATACCTTTTCATGTCCGATCAGGGAACCATACACCCTGTGCGTGTGTTATCCATAGTCACCCTTCCGCCCCTACTATTTTAAACTAATTTACTACTAATATCAATCCTTTGCATTATGGATAGTAGCAATGCATCACAAATTCTTTAAATAGACATAGTACATATGTGTCTTAATGTTTGATTGCTGTTTACAATACATAATTAATCTTATAAAAAATGTTGTTAAGCTCTTTGCCAAAGTATGGATTAAGTTATAATATTTGTATTGATATAACATTTAACTGACCATTACACATTCATTTCTAACAAATAAAGGTGAACCGTATGTAATTTTATTCACAAAGATTTTTTTAACCATATGTAATTTTATTCACAAAGATTTTTTTAAAACAATCAACTTCGTATGTTTTCATTATTTGTTGTTACAAAGTGAAGTACATTAATTATGTAAATTTAGAAACAAATCTACATTTTCAGTTTTTGTATCAAAGAAATGACACTTGAAGTATCTTTTATAACTTAATTAGTTTCTCCTTTGAGAGAAAACAAAGAGAATTAATCTTCCGAAACTAAACTTGGCATTGTAAGTGAAACAAAAACAGTCTACTTTAAGTACAACAAGAATAGTTGACTTAACGGTCTATGTTTATAGTATAAAACCACCTTGAGCTTGGGGGGAGATGGCTGAGGGTAATTTATGATGGTATACATATGAGTGAGTTGGGCTGTACCTGGACTGGTGACTAAACCTTTGATTCAGATGAAGAGGTGGAGATGGTATCACTACTCATTCTGGTTGTCACTCCACCCTGCCTTCTGGTCTCTCTCACCAACAGGCTTTAAATCTCACTCGCCAACAAGCTTTAAAACAACAGTTTGGTTCATATCGCAAAAAACTTTGGAGAGTGCATTACAGAAAACTTATGTGTTGGATTAGTGAAAAGTAGGAGCCGGAGAGATTGCAGGTACTAATGCTGAAGAATACATGTTTGTTCTTCATTTTGAGACTGTTCATTAGCCTGCTGGGTATGGGACTTGAGTTTATGTTGGGATGAATTGCATTATAGAAATTTTCTGTGCAGTTGTTTTGTGTGTATATCTCCAGCCTTCGATTTCTTATAGAAATCATAAGAATTGTGGAATGAAGAAACAAATTATTTTACAGTCTACATTTGAGGTCAACGTACAGAGTAAGATATATGAACATATTTTATGCCGAATTACACTTTGGGATTTGAATTGACTCACATTCTGCTCAAGAATGTTACATTGTGTCAACGTTCACTTGCAGGATATAATTTTATTTCAGTTATTTTCCGTTTGATGGAATTATTACCTGTTGTATTGTTTAACAAAGTTATGATCAAAGTTCCTGTTTGTGTTTTTCAGGAGTTTGTGCTGAGTGCGCCTGGACGTCACCATCTCAGAGTAGCTGTACACAACCAGTTTGGAAGACTGCAGAAGACATGGACAATAGTGAGTAACACATTTTCCTCTTGTGTTTTAAGGAATCAGATGATTTGCCACGAAGCAAGTTTTATTCCAGTAATATTTGAGGTGGCATTACAGAGTTTGTAATGAGCTAGATCTCGCCTAATTTATTGTACGTGTCACATTTTTTTTTTTTTTTTTTTAAACATTCAAAATGTCAGAATAATTATGTAATTAGATATGATTTATGGACCATATTTATAAGCCATTCAAGCATACCCAGACTACTGTCTCCTTTAATAAAGCTCAGTCAGGCTTTTCGGAACCCAGTCCTCATTTTCCCCCTTCCTTTCCAACCCTTGAAGCTGTCTTCATATGGCCTAGTATAACGTTGTTGTACATATATCATACCTCATACCAGTCCATAAGCCTTTTCCCAATCAACTACCCCTTTCACAGTCCTTCTCTTATCCATTTCCTTACCCAACTCCTCAAATTGTCTCCCTTCCCTGACAACCCTTTGTTAATACCCTTTCCTCCATTTTTCCATCATTTCCCATCATTCCTTAAAATGCTTCCTGCCAGGGTCTTTTTGATGACCTCCCGTTACCAGTCCTCAAGTTCCTCTCCACCAACTCTTCAAAAAGCCCCCCCCCCCCCCCCCTCCATTTTAAATACTTCCTCTCCCTTGATCCTTCAGTACACCTTCCTGAGGAGACTTCCCTTTAACCCATTCACATTTGAACCTTACCAAATCAAAGACTGGGCAAGTCCAGTTTAAATATGTAGGGGTGAATGGGTTAAATGCCAACCCATTTCCCCAGGACTCCTCTAACCTCCAAACCCTTTGTCCTATCATCCCATAACTCTAACTCATCGACCACCATACTTCCCTTTAAATCCCCCCCCCCCATTGCCGCTTTGTAAGACTTGGATTTTACAGACAAATTATACACAGAAAGTTGGCTGTATCTAAGCCAGGCCAGTGATTTTACTTATAGGACTGTTTACCTCATTGAACATATGGAAATTATTTCTCACTATTCCAGAAGGTTGCACTGCCTTCACTCCTCTGTGTAGTGTGTTTATTCAGGTATTCAGTAAAAGCTAGCTCCAGGGTCATCTAGACGATATCTATGAATATGGATAATATTATACGGAGATAAAGATTCTTGGATCAAATCATGAAAAAAAACTGTGCATGTGGTAATGACTTTGAAAGCCTATTTGAATGACTACCAGAGGACAAAATAGTTACGATATCTTGGCAAGTTTTTGTTTTAAAATATTGTAGTTATACAATTATCAGCATTCTTCTTTCTGAAATTGATATCTTAAACTGATTGCAAAAAAACATTTCTTAAAATTTTAGTCCAGAGATATTTATTTGCCTTTCTCAAACATTTTAAAATTTTACAAAAATATGTTGTTTGATCCAAAGTATTTGAATTTGAGAAATCATGCTGTCGTACCATTGTTAATACCAGTGTTAACATGTGCCTATGATTAATGGGGCAGATTTTTGATAGATTCTCCACATCTTCCCATCTATCGGAGATTTACTGTACATTAGACCACCAGACCGTCCCTGTCTCTCCTCATCAATCCATTGTGTTTATTGTTCTTATCCCACACACACCAAAACATCCTGTCAGCCCTGTCTGATAGACACTAGGCTCTGGTCGTTTAGAAGTTTAAGAACAAGTTTTGAGATACAAAAGTGACAACGGACCACCTGTCTTGAAAAAATAAATCATCGGCAGGTGTTTCATACAATCATTTTGAACCTTGTTTTACTTTTATCAATTGTAACTCTAAAACTGTAGTTTCCATGTAGGACCTGTTTAGTGCTGACACACAATGGTCAACCTTGAATAGTTTTGAAGTTGGAATTTGAAACTTTTTTCCCACAAGGGAATCTGGCGCATTTTGATGAAAAGCCTGTGGCAATTAAAATAATGCATATCATCTGCAAACCTCAGATAAATTGTCTTTTAAATTCTTTTGAAGAACTGTCAAGTATGTTAACTATATTTGATTTTACAATAAGGGAAATCCTGGTGAAATTTACCTGTGTTTTGGTCATAATTAGGCATGTGTACAGGTCATGAAATAGATTTTACAGCTCCTGTGGAGAAATAAATTACGAGGTCATCACTGTCATCTCGAATACATAAGGAGGGCATCACTGTCATTAACTGGTATTTATCACCTCAATCAACACACCAATAAACATTTGGGAGAAATGTTAGAAAAGTAAATTATCTTTCATCCTTCCTACTTTAAACTGAACTATTGACCAAAGATTGTGTTGAAATTGGGAATAGTATGGCACGTTGTTAGTTAGAATCACTATCAACACATTACAGGCATGCCAAATTTATTGAAAAAAAAAGATAATTTCCCTGCTCTTTCAAAATTTTACTTCTTGAAATTCCATTTTAACATTTCTGATTTAATTATTGTATATGTATGACTTATACTTCAGAATAATTAAAACTGTACCTTATTTAGTGTCTTTGCAGCTAAACCAAAATATCTTATGAACATCTTTTGAAATAACCAAGAGGTTTTGTTTGTCTGAGTTAGATTAAAAAAATCTTCATTGATCAAGGTATTCATGATATCTGAGGCTTACAATAATGATATATATTCATATCTGAAGCTCATTATAATGTAATTCATCTATGTTATTAATAATAGAAATATCCATAAAAAAAATATGTACACACAAATATCATGCTCAAAAATTCAATTTATGCAGACCAACTTCATGTTAGAATAATGTTCTGTTAAAGTATCCTCAAATCCCTATCAGACATTAATTAAGAAAGTGTTGATATGTTTTTCAGTAAAATGTAATTAGCCTGTGTGTGGTTGATGGGAAATCCTGGAGGAGCCCAAACACATGGTCCCTCCCCATAACCCAGACAGTCGTTAAACCATTCTCTGGAGATAGTGATGATAGGTCAGGTACAGCCGATGACCTTTGGTTTTAGAGGTTATATGTCAGTCAGTTGTCAGTTTCATCGCGTTTCTTAAAGATGCTTTGTTTTTCTTAACACTTTCCAGGTTTTGACATTAAGGAGCAAAACTTTTCACCTTTGCTTTTCTCCTCATTATATTTTGTGCTGATCTGTTTCTCAAAGATGCTTTGTTTTTCTCGACACTTTCGTGAGTTTGACGTCAAGCAGTTCAACTTTTTACCTTTGTTTTTCTCATCGTTATCTTTTGTACTGATCGTATATTGTTTCCAGAGTTATTAAAGAATTACTTCTTTTATAATAAGGTTCAAATGGATTGTGATGATACACTTACGATACAGTGTAATGTATAAGATGTATCTGTTCTCTGCAGTTTGTGGTGCAGAGATACTTGGACGACCCAACCTTTACCATGACAACTGGGTCCAAGGATGTTGTCTCCCCTGGAGAACCAATCAGATTTCTGGTGGCCCTGGAAATCACTGCTCGTATCGGAGCGACCCTGGAGGTTGAGTTCGGTGACGGAGAACATCACAGTACAGAACTGAAGGACACCAATTCCACATCTATGGCCCTTTACTCTGACCATGGTCCGATGATGGTCGTCGCTAGCTACGGACAGGGGTGTCGCCTGCAGGTTCAGTTTGAACATGCCTATCACCGCCAGGGAACCTATCGGCCACACATGACTGTGTATAATGGCAACGATAGTGTTAACAACAGGCAACAAAATGTTACTGGAAAGTTCCAAGGGTATATACGAGTCATTAATCGGTTAAATGGTGCAAGACTTGAATCGAAGCATACCGTTGCCGTTGGACAAATTTCAAAATTTCAGGTAGAGTTAATGTCCCCTTCTTTAAATGTGTCGTACCATTGGTCGATAATGGACGAACACGACAATGACCTTGGTATGATGAACACCAGTGTTAACCATATATGGTATAACTTCTCTGAAGCCGGTGTGTATCAAGTCAGTGTTAGAGCAGCCAACATCATCAGCGAGGTCCAGACAGCGACAACTATAGTTGTCCAGGAGCCTCTCACTGACCTCCAACTGACCTGTAACCCTAAAACATGTATCAGGGTTGACCAATTGCTGCGTTGTTCAGCAACAGTTGTTCATGGTAGTAATCCAAAATTTATCTGGAAAATCCCAAACAGGCACACTATTTTGTCTTCCGTTACAAAACAACATGGTTTATCGATGGCTAATTACACATTTGACATGCGTGGTCGATTTAACATCAGTGTGCAGGCCAAGAATGATGTGAGCGACATTACCAAGTCTGTTGACAGTTTGATCTGTGTCCAGGAACCCGTCACCTGTGTCAGCATCGAGAGCTATGGACCCGTCCCCCTCGGTAGAGCGACAGAATTTGAAATCACAGTTGCACCTATGACGTTCGTCATGTTTAAATTTGAATCTGGACTTGACCGCCGTCTCTGGGAGTCTGTGACAGTTCAGCAGTTTTTACAGGACGATGGATTCTACGTTGCCTACGAGTTTGAACAGGCTGGTATCCATGATGTCACAGTGACTGCCTACAACAACGTCTCTAGTGCATCTCATTCAATCAAGGTTTTAGTCATGAGGGCGGTACCTCCTCTAGATGTCAAGGTCATTGGTGCGGCTATGGTTGGCAGGCCAACCACACTCCAGATCATCCCCAAATGTAAGTTATATGGGAAAAAAGTTCAAAAAACGATTATTTGAGATTATTAAAACCATTTAATATTTTGAAGTCTTTATTAAGTAATAATTTCTTTTCACTGATAAACCCAAGGGGAGCATAAAAATAAAAGGGGGATAACTGTGTCTCACAGATTATTTCATGATTACAGAAATAAGGAAGAGATTTTGAACTTGTGTATAGGAGCCTAATCTAAAGTTAAACAAGGTTGTATCAAGTATAAACGTGTTATCGGTAATTTGATAGTTTATAGTACATTTCTCATTTTACATGACATGAATCACCTTTCAGATAACTTGCACACAAAGAAAAACTATCAAATATCTTTTTAAATGGTAATTTGGGTGTGGTTAATAAATGCATTACACGTTTGAATGGTTTATGAGAATGTAGTGCAATTTAGAAATATTAGACAGCACTAAAAAGTGTTTTTAAAGGGAGATAATTCAATACAAGTTACTTCTATAAAGTATAAAGTGGGATAAATCCGTAAGATAAACTAAATGTAGAATGTAGAATATCTGTTTCAGGGCCATATGGTGTGACCGACAACCTAGAATATGAGTGGCACATAGATAATTATACTCTGTATGGAACTGGTTCCACCATCGTGACAACGACCTTCAACAGGCCAGGGTACCACCAGGTCAACGTTACAGCAGCAAACTTTGGTAAGTTTCCCTTGTGGTTACCGTGACAACCAGAGTAAACTAACAGCAGCTGTCCGTTTCACCAACTCCATTTGTAGATAAAGTCAGTTTCACCTTTATTTTTTTTGCAAATGAAAAAACCTGCTGATGCTACAGCTGTATCAAAGAATGAATTTTTAAGGAATTTCTTGACCTTTTGGATGACCTTATTGATAGCCTTGAACTATGTAACACCATTGATCTGCCTTAATTATAACTTGTTCTGAAAAGATTAATGGCCTTGACATTGGTGACAACCTTGACCTGTATAACTAACTTGTTCCGTGTGAAATTAATGGCCTTGACATTGGTGACAACATTGACCGTTATAACAAGCTTGTTCTAGTAAGATTAATGGCCTTGACATTGGTGACAACCTTGACCTGTATAACTGACTTGTTCTGTGTGAGATAAATGGCCTTGACATTGGTGAGAACCTTGACCTGTATAACTAACTTGTTCCGTGTGAAATCAATGGCCTTGACATTGGTGACAACATTGACCGGTATAACAAGCTTGTTCCAGTAAGATTAATGGCCTTGACATTGGTGACAACCTTGACCTGTATAACTAACTTGTTCTGTGTGAGATAAATGGCCTTGACATTGGTGACAACCTTGACCTGTATAACTAACTTGTTCCGTGTGAGATTAATGGCCTTGCCATTGGTGACAACATTTATCGGTATAACAAGCTTGTTCCGGTGAGATTAATGGCCTTGACATTTGTGACAACCTTGACCTGTATAACTAACTTGTTCCGTGTGAGATTAATGGCCTTGACATTGGTGACAACATTGACCGGTATAACTAACTTGTTCTGATGAGATTGACAGCCTTAGCCTTAATGACAACCTTGCCTTGTGTTAGAACTTAGTGATAACATGAAGTTGTGTGGTATCTTTGACGTGATGAATAGGCTTAAAGGCCAGGGGGATGGGGTATAAAAGGGAGACAACTTCAGAAAATGGATGAATATGTAAAACTTTGGCTGCCTTCACTCCAGAGAAAGATTTTCTTCAAATTCAGATTTTTCAAAACAATATTTGATACAGATTTTGTCATGGCTACAGAGTTTTTTGGTGAAGAATCTAATTATGGTTATTATTTTCTTTGCAAAAATTTAATAAGGTAATATTCCTAATGTTAAATATGGTGACAACCATGGCCTGTGTAACATCCGTGACCTTGAGGACAACCTTGACCTGTTACGAGGACAACTTTTACCAGTACAATGTATTCCTCATTTACTTGGCAGATTGTAATTATCTTGGTGACGGCTTTACCAACTGAGTAATATCTCGACCTGTGGATCTAATTTGATTTGGGAAAACAACCATGACTAGTGCTAAATCATTGACTTTGGGCAAATTTGGACAATGTTAACTTGGGATATATCCTAGACCTTAAATCTAAGGTTCAATGTAACCATGATCATACCTCATTAAATGTGAATAGTCAGGTGTTGTAGTGGTAGTGGTTGGCTCAATCGCCTTTCATGAAGACAGCTGGGTTTTGATTTCTCGAACACAGACATAAAAAGGTGGGGGGGGGGGGGGGGGGACACCTTCCCGACCAAGTGAGTGGATTTTCTCTTTGCTCCAGCTTCTTCCAATATTAAAACCCCCTGCACATTTCAACTGAACCCACAAGAGTGATTAGTAAAGTTTATAACTTTGTTTCATCATTTTTGGATAAAAAATAAAATATTTATCTAAGATTTCCAAAGTCACCTTTTCTAATCTGGTGACATGTCTGCCTAGAATTTTGCTATCCCAATGTAACAGGCATTTCACAGGTTCACTTACTAAATCTTGTATCGAGTCTTTGATATTTTTTCCCCAACACAACCTACACAAACCACCATAACAATATCTGAGTAGAACATGATGTAACTAATATCATATAAAGAAGGATGGGAGATTGACTTGTAATCAGGTAAAACTAGAGTTATCAATCTTGATCAGTCTGATGATTCATGGGAAGTGATGATCAAGTATGTAGGATGTCTCACATGAAATGATGCAACACCATATATATCATGTGAGTAATAATTAATTAACGTAAAATAAGTCGAGCGACAAGAAATTACCTTCTCAGCATGTTATACTCTCGACAAATATTATAGTACAACATCCATATGTACAAACTGGATTACCACTGACAAACTAACTCATTCACCCCTAAATTTTCATAATGAACTATTCCAACCTTTGAATTGGAAGAGTTTAAATGTGTGTTCAGGGGTAATTGAGTTAAGATGAAGGATTACTGATGAAATTCTTGTTAAGCTTTGGGTAAACAGCAAAACTCTGGTTAGAAGGTACAGATTCAGGTTTTATTTTTACGTAACAATATAAGAAATAGTGTGATAGACCCAGGAAGAGGATGTTGATGTTGGAAGGGTTTGGTTGGTCTAACAAGGTGTAAGAACATCTGTTTATCATCCCACTCCCGGCAACGTTATAAGTATGGTGAACTTCACGTAAAAGTGCAAAGAAAACAAATTATATGTGAAAGCAAAAATGTTTCAAAGTGTATTTTATCACTAAACTAAGGCATGTTTAGGTTCGAAACATTTAGACTTCAAGCAGGAATACTGAAACTGAACTTAATTTAATTTGATGAACTATTTCTGGGTTTTTTCATCAAAATTTGTTAAATGTAGCAAATTAGATAGACACTTGGGTTTGTTATCACAGTTGGGTGTTTCCTGTTTCACTGACGTGCAGTTTTAGACATACTCTAGTGTGTTATAAGAAAATTTCCGCTCCAGCTTAATGAAAAAAACTGACACTGTTACAAATCTTCTTTTAAAATTTGAAATGAAAATTATCAGCTTTTGCTAAACAGTGTGAACGTGGTGTTTGGTTTAGGGATGCCCTGATTTTAAACAGCTGTTTTTTTTCTGGGGTTAAAACTGAATGGTTCCATTGAGGTGTGCCTGTAACAAAAATTATTTATACGCTCAAATCTTGAATGAAGAAAAATGTATACCCAATTTGCGATAATTGTATCCTAGTTTTGAGAAGGGTGTTCCCTGTCTGTAGAAGTTGTGTATCTGAATATGTCATTAATTCTATGGCTATATCTAAATAATTTGTTGCAAAACCTTCAAGATATTGTACATAAAAAGTGCTTGATGTGGCAAATAGATGTTCAACCCCACCTTTATTTACAGTGAATGCCAATTCGCACATATGCAACCTTTTATAAAATCAAAAATCAAATTCATTGGCCTTGGTAATTGGATTTTTGTTATTGGAATGAAAAGTAATATCAGTGTATTTTTAGGGGATCACTTTCTGCAAGCATTTACAGAGAAATATCATTTAAGATGCAACTTACTGAATTTTTATTGCATTGTAAAGAGATATATGCCACTTAATTAAATCGTCAAAAAGCAGGAAGTTATTCTTTAATTGGGAATTTTCTTTAAAATAAAAAAAATCTTGAGACTTCAGAAACATCATTTCATAATTGAAAAAAAAAATCATGATAAAAAAAGGTTTAAACTACTTAATCTTTAAACAGGATGAATTTGTGTTTTGCTGTATCAGCATGTGTCGGGTTTAAAAATATGTCTTATGAAATATTGAGGATCTTTATGTAGGTTTAATAACATTACCACAATGATTGAAGACAGTGCATTTGTCTGCGTATATCTTTAATTTGTTAAATAACTCATTTACCCAGTGTCAACGGTGATGTCCCGGTGGAAAATCAAATTAATGAATAGCAAGACTATGGGGCAATAGTGATAAAAACGAGACAAGCTCTCTAGTGAGACAGATAAAGCTTCTGATTGATCGTAATGCATTCTCTTCAAGGTTACCACTGAGGGGAAACAATGATGTTGATTTCTGGGTAGATCAGCATCTACCAGATGAGATAATTCAGGGATGTAAGTCTTACTTTTTTTGGAGGATTTACTTTTTTTTCCATTTTTGTCATGATTTAAAAAAAAAAAAAATGGTCAAACTCATTTAAAAAAGTTTTAATAAATTTTTCTGAATTTTGTTTATTTATTACATGTTTTTGTTCTTCCATTACAAAGAATTGTTCCAAGTTATATAAATTTGAATATGGGTTTAAGAAATACTTGATGAAATAGTTTCTTTCAATATGGTCTTATACTTTCAAGATACATTGGATGCTGGCAGAATGTTGCTGGATGTTATAGCCTGACATGATGGTTTCGCAGGGGAAACTTATAAGTACCTAATTTTTTACATTAATTGCCCACTTAAACACCATCCATACAAGATGTGTATACTTATAACACAGTGCCTTACTAAGCGGAGTCAGTCTATCATTTTAGAATTGGTACTTGGCTCTTGGTACTTTGCCATTAGGATTGGCCCTTCATCATGTCTAGATACCAATAACTGGTGGCCATTTTTCTCTAAAAACTGGAAAATTCTTTCATAATCATATTTCACTTGATTTTTGACCTATATTATAGAGATACACGTGGCTTTTTTTCTAAAGTTATTTTCGGTTAGTGCCCGCCCCTCTTTAAAGTTTAAAACAGATTTGTAGCCAAACATTTTCTTCAGGTAAAAAAACCGGAAAATTAATGCATTTGAATATGTTTCGTGTCTGGTGATTGATGAAGTAGAAACGAATTGACTTTCTTAATGTCTGTACTAAAAGATACGACACAGCCGGTTTACCTAGTGACCATAAACAGACCAAAAAAAACCTCAAACCCGTGTGATGAAATCAACTTCTGCACACAGCAAAGGAACTGTGATGCACAGTGTGGCCAGACATAGCTTGGATTTTAATTAGACTGAATTAGACGCATCTTGTTATTTCATGTCAGCATCTGAAGCTGTGTCTGCTTCTGAAACAGCTTTATTGGCTACTGATGCTAGGGAAGAAGTGAATCTGCTTTGAAAAATGATGCAGGCCATATTTTCTCCCAGTCATGTTAGCTGGTAAAAATAAACATCAGATTTTTCTGTTGATTTTCACAGTTTGTGAAATATTTGAAAACGTCTGACATACTGTTCTTTTGCACTTGCTGGCTGTGATTAAAATCAATATCATTATGATATAAAGAAATGAAAGTTTATAAAATGGAAGGTTTAACTAATTTTAGATATTTTTTACGTTTTATAATTATAAGCGTTTTATACAATGTAATAGTCCTATACTATAGGGCAAAACATGGGAATTGAAAGAGCAAATGTAATGACAGAGAAATGGTATGGTATAAACATCTTTCCCAGTAATCATTATTGCTCCAGCTAGGTCAAGCGTGATTGTTTGGTCAACCTCTAATCAGTTTTCACAATTAAGGCATATGTTGAACAGAATCAACCACAGAATTGGGAAAAAATTATTTCAATTATTTGAATAAAACCAAATTGAAATTATAACAGAATTTGTGGATTCTGGGAGGTGTTGATTTATTTCCAGAATGAAAAAATTGGAGAAAAAATTCCCATTTAAATCTCTCAAGTTCAATATATTTGAATTTATGGTACACAAAATTTAATGATTTCTTTATATTAAAATAATAGATCCTGTATTTTAAAGGAAGTCATTTCAAGGGAGATAACTCAATCAAAGTTATAATGTATAAGGGAGCATAAAACCTTTAGTAATGCTGTGGGGACTGTTAACCTTAGTAAGCATTGCTGTCTACAGCTGTGTGATTCTATTAGGGACAAAACTCATTCACATGTATTATGTATAAGGGAGCATATAACCTTAAGTAATGCTGTGAAGACTGGTTACCTTAGTAAGCACTGCATTCTTCAGCTGTGTGATTTTATAAGGGAGACAACTTAATCACATGTATTATGTATAAGGGAGCATACAACCTTAAGTAATGCTGTGAAGACTGGTTACCTTAGAGAGCACTGCATTCTTCAGCTGTGTGATTTTATAAGGGAGACAACTTAATCACATGTATTATGTATAAAGGGAGCATAAAACCTTTAGTAATGCTGTGAAGACTGGTTACTTTAGTAAGCACTGCTGTCTTCAGCTGTGTGATTTTATAAGGGAGACAACTCATTCACATGTATTATGTATAAGGGAGCATAAAACCTTGAGTAATGCTGTGAAGACTGGTTACTTTAGTAAGCACTGCAGCTGTCTTCAGCTGTGTGATTTTATAAGGGAGACAACTCATTCACATGTATTATGTATAAGGGAGCATAAAACCTTGAGTAATGCTGTGAAGACTGGTTACTTTAGTTAGCACTGTTGTCTACAGCTGTGTGATTCTATAAGTGTGACAACTTAATCACATGTATTATGTATAAGGGAGCATACAACCTTAAGTAATGCTGTGGGGACTGTTAACCTTAGTAAGTACTGCTTACTACAGCTGTGTGATTCTATTAGGAAGATAACTCAATGACAAGTATTATGTAGAAAGTAGCATATACCCTTAAGTGAAGCTGTGAATTACCTGTAGTGAACACTTCTGTCTTCAGCAGTATGATTCTACTGCATCAAAGTATAATATAGTGTTTTTTGACGTTTTTATGCATGAACTATACTGTGGCTTAGCATGTATATAAATTGTACTTGATATAAAACCAATCTGAATTGTGGCTACTGAAGTACTTTTTGTTTGTAACTAATTATGATCCATCTTTGTTTTACAGTTGAGAATCGTACAAAAACATTATATGTGGATGTTGTGGAGCCATCTAGTGTGGAGTGGTATCTGTCACATGACATTGTCGTACCTATTAATGAACCTGTGGACTTCATTTTACAGGTAAGTTACTTAATAATTTTTTTATAATATCAATAATTTGTATTCCTGAAGAGGTTTTTAGGAAATAACTGTTTTTATACCATATAGAATTAAAATAGAAGCAATAAAGCATCAATTCCACCACTCTGTATCATCTGTTTGGGATGTTTATAATGTGAGGGACTGATATATAGTTGTCGTACCTGTGGACCTGTGTAAAGTTTACTGGATTGTATACTCAAGTGATTCTATTTCAACAAAGACTATGAACCAGTGAAAAAGTTAGATGAATTATACTGAACTGGTTTAAAATTAGCACAGAATTATACAAAACTGGTGTTAAATTAGCACAGAATTATACAGAACTGGTGTAAAATTAGCACAGATTTATAGTGAACTGGTATAAAATTAGCACAGATTTATAGTGAGCTGGTATAAAATTAGCACAGATTTATAGTGAACTGGTATAAAATTAGCACAGGTGTAACGGAACCTGATAGTAAATTTTGCACAGATTTATACCAAACTAGTGTAAAATTTACACAGGTTTATACTGAACTAGTGTAAATTTAGTGCAGGTGTAAACTGAACCTGTGTAAAAATTAGTACAGGTGTAAACTAAAATTAGCACAGATTTTTTCCAATCTGGCATAAAATTCTCATTAGGTAAAGATAACAATAACAAGGTCGTGCTGGTTTACCAGCTTTAATCCAACTTACTTCACATTCAATTTGTCGTCATCAGAACCTGATGGCAATCACTAATGAAAAATATAAAGCTGAATATTTTTACCATGTATGTGCAGAGATTGTGTTCCGAGACTTGTTGGGTAAATTTGGTTCATGGAGATTCAGCTAATAAAAAAAAAGTCAATGTTGGGAATATTAGTGGCATATTGTGGAGATTTTATTGTCACTTCACCCTTGGTTGTGCATCGGCAAATAACAATTCTTCCTAAAGGTTTCCAGTTTAACATTGCTGAGTGGTTGACTGTTTTAGAAGTGAAGTTCAAGCTAGATAATTGTATTGACATTATCGAGTCCTGTTCTTATATTGTACAGTGTATATATATAGTTACTGGTGAGTCCACCTCCGGTCTATTTCTGGGATTTCGTAACAAGCAAATGTGCACAATGAAGGATTGTCATTGATTTGTTTTTATTTTGTTTGACGATTTTATTGATTCTGTATCAGGTGAAATTTTCTGATTGAAATCAGTTTAAAAGCTTCAATTTCAAGTTAAAATTACTATCATTTCAACTTCATATTTGTTTTTTCCAAACGATTTAACTTATTGAGATGCAATGATAATTTAAGTCCTAAGTTTTATTAGATTTTAAAGTTTTTATATGTTTTCATTAGAATTAATGTGTTTAAATGTGTAAATTTCCCTAACAGATGTCCTAGAGAGCTAATTCTATTTTACCTTGATCTTCCAGGGTGCGTCGACGGAAGGGAACATGTTACATGTTGAGTACGATGGTCCACAGTACGTAAAACGACTTGTTGACGATGCGGACTACAGGTACGTGGACATATCAACTATATATAGAATCATATGTTTCAAAAACACAATGCTAAATCTGTAATCCAATAAATGAGTATCTTCTCACGTTAACATGGGTTAAGGTTGTAAAAATTTGTGGTTGGATACAATGAGTACAAGTCTATGAATTAGTTTCATTCAAATTGAAAAGGGGCAGCAGTGGCCAAGTGGTTAAGGGGGCCGCAGTGGCCAAGTGGTTAAGGGGGCTGCAGTGGCCAAGTGGTTAAGGGGGCTGCAGTGGCCAAGTGGTTAAGGGGGCCGCAGTGGCCAAGTGGTTAATGGGTCCGCAGTGGCCAAGTGGTTAATGGGTCCGCAGTGACCAAGTGGTTAAGGGGGCTGCAGTGACCAAGTGGTTAAGGGGGCCGCAGTGGCCAAGTGGTTAAGGGGGCTGAGTGGCCAAGTGGTTAAGGGGGCTGCAATGGCCAAGTGGTTAAGGGGGCGCAGTGGCCAAGTGGTTAAGGGGGCCGCAGTGGCCAAGTGGTTAACGGGGCTGCAGTGGCCAAGTGGTTAAGGGGGCTGCAGTGGCCAAGTGGTTCAGGCGTCTAACATTCTGCTACCACTAGTCCTCCACCACTGGGTCGCGGTTTCAAGGCCTACGTGGGGCAGTCGCCAGATACTGGCTGTTTGTCAGTGGTTTTTCTCCCGGAACTCCGGCTTTCCTCCACCACATAAACCTAGCATGTCCTTAAATGACCATAGCTGTTAATAGGACGTTAAACACAAACATTTGAATTGAATCTGTATTTTCCTTTTCAATATACCTGTCTATTCCAGATTAAATAAGGTGGTCCCAGTGTTGCTTGCATTACACAGGGGCCAACAGACTTGGTTTTCTTGCAGAGTTTAAGATAAATTTGTTCACCTCTGAAATTTCATAATAGACTATTCCAACCTTTGAATTGGAAGAGTTCAAATGTGTCTTCAGTGGTGAATGAATTCAGCTTCCTTGTAAATAGGCAATACATTTTTCCAGTTCAGAAATTTTAGAGTTAGAAAAAAATGAAAAAACGGATTGCTTCTTATTCCATTCAATCAGTCACTTCCTATGTATTGTTGGCGAGACATTCCTAGCAGGTTTTTATTCAAAAGCCAGAACAGAAAAAAATAGAGGAAATTGCTTCATATATCTGTCTCAAGAAAAAAACGTATAAAATTTGTAGTGCCTTCTAATTGTGGTCAGATTGTTAGATAAGATGTTTGTGAATTGCATGGGAAAAAGCTGTGAGAAAGTTGTATGTACATAGCTGTATAGGAATGTAATTGGGTGAAAGGTCTGTCTGAAGAATTGGAGCCTGTTAGCTGTTTTTATATGTCGACTGTTTACATGTCAAATACCTTAACATTAGATCACTGCCTGTTCTGTATACACTTGTCAACCAGAAATGTACCTTACAAACTTGTCAATGAAACAGTGCTTTATTTCTTCAGAATTTCGTAAAAATCTATCAATGGTATAAAATGTCATGTTACCATGGCCATTCTGTTCTTGTAAGTGAATGTGACTTGCAGTAAAAAAAATGATACAAACACTGTTTGTGATGTTTTAAACTGATTCATATACACTGTGTAATATTATATACACTGTCTGTGATCCTTAACTGAATCATATACACTGTCTGTGATGATATAAACTGAATCATATTGACTGTCTGTACTATTATATACACTATCTGTGTTTATAAACTGAATCATATTGACTGTCTGTACTATTATATACACTGTCTGACATAATATAAACTGATTCCATTACACTGTGGTTAATATTATATATACTGCCTGAATACAAAGAAAACAGGTTCTTATTGATGCAATTTACTTTTTAAACCTTTTTCAATGTTTTTGAGATCAAATGAAGTTATTCATTGCACGAGAATGAAAAGTCCAGACTTTCTTTATTGTAAATAGAGATTTAGGTAGGTAACATGCTGTCTAGCTCTGCAGGATTCCGGGTATTGACAATGAATAGAGATTTAGGTAGTTAACATGCTGTCTAGCTCTGCAGGATTCCGGGTTTTGACAATAAATAGAGATTTAGGGAGGTAACATGCTGTCTAGCTCTGCAGGATTCCGGGTATTGACAATAAATAGAGGTTTAGGTAGGTAACATGCTGTCTAGCTCTGCAGGATTCTGGGCATTGACAATAAATATAGATTTAGGGAGGTAACATGCTGTCTAGCTCTGCAGGATTCTGGGCATTGACAATATATAGAGATTTAGGTAGGTAACATGCTGTCTAGCTCTGTAGGATTCCGGGCATTGACAATAAATAGAGATTTAGGTAGGTAACATGCTGTCTAGCTCTACAGGATTCCGGGCATTGACAATAAATAGAGATTTAGGTAGGTAACCAGGGTTGCCAACCTCTTAGGAGTCCAGTGTGGGAGATCTCCCTCCACTGGGTTTTACAATGTGTGAGACTTTTGACGGTGTCGCGGCGTAACGTCGTTTTGGGTGTTAAGATAACATTTACAAATGTATTGAACAAATCCTGGCTTTCTCTGACTACTATAACATCTGCATTGTTGATATTTTCTCTTCAAGATCTTTGTAGGAAAATAAAACAAAACATTTTTTGCAGCTATATAAAATATTTTTATATATCACACAAAAAAAACCTGACATCAGTTATGCAACATATTATATAATCAAAGGCCTTTCTGGCTACTATTCTAAGCAATAAATAACAGTTAGACCCTTAGCATTTATACAACGTTTGCAATCCGATTTGTTGCATGATTATGTATTAGACTACCTACGTACTTTGTCTATCCAACATGCCAAAGCACTTCCCGAAACTCTTTTTTTTTTTCATCGCATCAGATTAAAATTGTTTATTACTACAAGTCTCTGGTGTGTTAAATCATATACGCCACTTTACTGCAAAAAATAACTTCGAACTTTTCATCAGCCATCAGCGACTGTCTGTTCGTGATTCAAGAATCGTTTTCTCTTAATATTTGTGAAGGCAGGACCTAAAAACAATCTCCTAATACACGACGATATTATTAGTAAAACTTTCTTTTTCTGTGCGATAGGTACGTTCAATATTAAGTTTACGAGTGAAAACAACTTGATTGACAGGTTTTATGTCCGCTTCACTACCGAGTAGTATCCAGCAGACGATTGTGAAAACAACTCACCTTACGATATATTTACATTCGTTTCCACCGGATGTAAAGCGACACCTCGCGCCAGCTTACTTCCAAAGCACAACGCTGCAATAACAGTTATTCCCCTTTGTACGACCCAAGCTAAAAATTGCCGATTTATGGCTTCGCGTGGGATAGAGGGAGAATATTTTGGAATCCGTGAGATTTATGGCTCACGTGGCGTGAGACATGATTATGCGTGAGTAAGGTCGTCTCAGCGTAACGATTGCGTGAGATTTTGTCTCACGCCGTGAGAGTTGGCCACCCTGGGTAACATGCTGTCTAGCTCTGCAGGATTCTGGGCATTGACAATAAATAGAGATTTAGGTAGGTAACATGCTGTCTAGCTCTGCAGGATTCCGGGTATTGACAATAAATAGAGATTTAGATAGGTTACATGCTGTCTAGTTCTGCAGGATTCCGGGCATTGACAATAAATATAGATTTAGGGAGGTAACATGCTGTCTAGCTCTGCAGGATTCCGTGTATTGACAATAAATAGAGGTTTAGGTAGGTAACATGCTGTCTAGCTCTGCAGGATTCCGGGTATTGACTTCCTTCCGCTCATTCTTTTCTACAACTTTACTAGGCAAGAAATCCAGAAAAACAAACAATGTTTCGAAAGTTGCCTTTCTGTGTTGGTTGACATGTTCGCTGTACTGAACAAATTTCAAAAAGGAGGTGGATTTACATGGTATTTTGCGATGGAAAGGAGATTTCCTCAGTTGGTTAAACCAACAGGAAGCAGCACCTACTACAACCCTTATCTTATAAACGCACGTTTTAAACCTGTCTGATTCACATGTTTGTGTTTCTTTTTCTACCAGCTTCCGTTAGTCTAGAGTTTGCGTAAGGACGATTACACGGAACTGACATTTCAAAGTTCTTAATTTGTGTTATCTTTTTACAGTTTATAAGCAATGAAAAAATGAGCTGTTCAGTGATTGTTTGGACAATGCTTTTTGCAAGATATGTACACTTGCTGGTGTTTAGTTTCTTAAAAATTACTTATTTTCCAATAATATGCTAATTATTATTATCATTATTATTGATAGAAAGAGATGACCATTGATATGTAAAACCTGCTGATTTAGTGAAAGTTTAAAGGCTGTATGATAGGATTGTTTCAAATCACCTTCAGAAGTTTGTTCTAATGAAATCATGCTTGTTATATATATTTAAAAAAAAAAATTCATGCTTGTTATATATATTTAAAAAAAATAAAATCAAGCTTGTTATATATATAATTAAAAAAAAAAAATCAAGCTTGTTATAAATATTTAAAAAAAAATAAAAGCAAGCTTGTTATATATATTTAAAAAAATAAAATCAATCTTGTTATATACATTTAAAAAAATAATTCAAGCTTGTTATATATATTAAAAAAAAAAAATCAAGCTTGTTATATATATTTAAAAAAAAAAAAATCAAGCTTGTTATATATATTTAAAAAAATAAAATCAAGCTTGTTATATTTGTTCCTGTTTGAAGTCACGAACTGGCAATACACACAAACCTTCATTAGGCAGTTCCTGTTTATTTTTCAGATGGAGCCAAGAATTTGCTGAAGCAGGCTTGTATCAAACTGTTGTAACTATGGCAACCGACAAAGCTGGCTCAAACACCATAGACAGCCTCGTGTTGGTTCAAGAGAGGATCACCGGGCTGCAGTTGACTGGGCCACAGATGATCAAAATTGAAATGTAAGGTTCACATTTTTTTTTTGCAAATTACTCCTGTCAATTTACTTCTTAAGGCCAAACAAAATTGATTACTTGGTTCTCAGGCACGCGCGCATTTCATGGCACCGTGCTCATTGCCGACTTTATTGTGAAAGAAAAAAAAAAAATGTTTGAATAAAGGTAACGATTGAGATACAGGCAAGCGTTAAAATGATTATGACTTATTAGTCTTGTGTACAAATGGCGCTCATTACGGTACAAATAAGGAATGGGGGGTTTGTGATCCTCGTCTGGAACATCGTGGGGGGATTTTCGGAGGCTTGCTCTATGACGTAATTAATTTTATTTGGCCCTACTTGAGGAAATTTTGAATATTTTTAGCTTCAAACTGAAGTCTACAATATTCAATATTTCTATGATATATTATTTTATAAGTCATTATTCTATTTATGAAAGGTGATTCCTCTAATGTTTGGAAAGACAAACCATGAGTTATTGGCCTGTTTTGATTTTGACGAAAGCTTTAAAGCTGTCTTTGAAGTGTTGCCAATCTGCAAAGGACGAGTTATTAATGTTCGTTGTAGATAAAATGGAACTCGCCTGTTTTATACAGGAATATATATATAAATTTAATTTCACACAAATTTATTTGTGTTGCTCTCTACCTTGTCCTGATTTGTATAATTCCTTTCGCTGTGAAACTTCTGTATGTTACACACTGTAGGTAAACTAGAATCAGACTTTGCATCATGATACAATAGTATCAAATTCACATTAAATTGGCATCAGGCGTTAAAAAATGCTACAGGTGAGCCAAGTTTCTGGTTTAGAGTGTTTGTACTTTGGGTTGAAGAGTATCATAGGTATAGAATTATATCTTCAATTTCAAGATAAATATTGACCTGACGGAGTAAGAAGATTGAGAAATGTGTTGGATTTTACCGGGTAGTAGAGCCGTGCACTTTGAGAGGTGAATTAAGACCAGGAGATTTTTTGGGGTTTGTGACATCAAAGGACAAACTTTAGGGAGGATCTGAAATTATTCCTCCCCATCATTGCACTTTTAAATGAGGTCATTGCAGAGACGAGAAAGGTCAGCAGATTGAGATTTTATTACTGCGACAGCATGCATTGGTGATGTGAGAGTTGGATTCCGCATTAGAATGAAACAATCATTATCCTTTATTGAAATGTTGTGTATCCGTGATATTCTGTTTCCTTCCTCTTCATGTTTTTAATAATTGAAATTGCTGCCGCAACAAAAGATGAATGATTTTTTTATTATATAATATCAAATCACTATTTCGTGATGGAATATTTTAGAATTTTTAGCTATTATTTTCCAATTTAGAAATTTCAATTTATGACGTCTTATCTTTTTGATGATTTGTGTGCTATACAGATGTTGTTTTAGATTAAAACAATTATGATAAACATTGCTTTATAGTTAAATTATCAGGTCTTAAAACTAGTTATTTTTCAACTGCCCTGCATGGTTCAATAAATAAATAACTTAATGGTTAGCTGAATATCTTTTTTAAACAGTAGAAACCTGTGTTTATTGTTCACTAATGTAAGACTTTTATGTGACGAACACCAAATTGGGAGGACTGAAAATAAAAATAAAAAGAATTCTAAGGTTTGGAGTCTCTGTAAAAATGTACCAGATAACAGAGCTGTGAGTGTATACTAATCGTCTTTCGTGATTCCACACATGGAAACCTAGAGGAAAGATTCCTGCCATCCCTTTCCTCAGCTATGTGAGTGTTTATAAACACACAAGTGTTGTATAATCCAGAATGTTCTTGGTAAAATAAGTCACCTCTAACATCTTTAGCTAGCCAGACCTTGAGTTCAATCTGACTCTCTCCGTGTGTAAATGGGAGGAATACTCCATGGTTGTCTTGATATCGACTTATCCTGTTGTATCTTTTTCTTAACGCATTCACCCCTGAAGACTCATTTGAACTTTTCCAATTCAAAGGTTTGGATAGTTCATTATGAAATGTCAGGGGTGAATGAGTGAATTACTGGTGTTTCTGTACAACAGTATTGCTTGATATAAGCCGGGGCAAGTACTGAAAAACATTAAAAAAAATCCAAAAGTATTGTCTGATTCTCTTTTGATAACAAGTATTTAGCTTTGTTGTCCTTATCAGCAAAAGCATTGTTTTACAGATTATTATGTCTCAACTTTTCCCTTTTTGATACGTCTGTCTATGACGGGTCGTTATGGCTATATGACGAGTCGTTATGGCGTGGCATCGTCTGGACAGCCAAGTAAAAGGTACTTAAATCAGGTACCCTCTCTCGTTATATACAATTACGGCCATCCATTCATTTTCATGCCATACCTCGAATTGGTGTGGGGCATATAGTGTTACCATGGTCCATATGTACGTTGGTAGGGTTAAGTTCTTGTGTATAGGCGAGTTATGGGCAAAGTGATGCTGACTGGGGTCACCCACTTCCACAACTTCACATGCTTATGTGCTTTTGTGAGTAGAACATGATGCAAACAATTTTAGTGACCTTGACTTTTGTCCTTGACCTTGCTCTGTGATCTTCGTTAATATTTTATGTTTAGGTCAGTTATTGACAAAGTACTCCAGCTAGGGTCACATGCTGCTTCAATGCTATTAATAGTATGCTCCTCTATGAATACAGCATTTTGTATGACCTTTCGTTACCTTGACCTTTAAACTCAGCCTCTGTGACCTGTCTTTGGTTCTTAAGTGTACGTGGGAGCTGGGCAAACGTGTCTTGCAGACACATTTCTTGTTAATTAATACCAAAGTTTTGTTAAGAGCATTATAAACTTCCTTATGATGGGCATTTATACCGTTCCATATCCGATGAGTTTTATTGTTTTATATCTGTATTTGTTACCTACATCTAATCTACTTGTACCTTGTCTAGAAATTGACAGAAATCATTATACTAAAAGATTAATTTCTAAGGGCTTTTAAGATTCAATGTTTATCAGGCTTGCCTACAGTCTGATGGAAGTGACATAAGAAAACTTTCACAGACAGGATGGTTTATACAAAATTAGTTCGAACTAAGATCCTCAAAGGAAAATGGGGACATTTTTGATGTATTGGCTTCGTATTAAAATAGTAGCATGTCGAGTGGAAATGATCTCAGATAAGTGTACTTGATATATTGTATATCTATAACATTTTATAATATCATTCAAAAGCCTTGATTAGGTTTTGTATTTATATATATATGTGTGTGTGTGTGTGTGTGTGTGCTTTCTGTAGGTAAAACAGCATTGATCCCAGGATGCAAGCTTTTATGTTTTGGTTCACTTTGACTTTTGGCAGTTTTGATTTTGTTAGGCATTATCAAATGGAGACGAACCGCGGTGTATAAAGTTTGCTATTCTGATATTTCCTTCTAAACACACTTTCTTGGCTACAGCCATCTGCCAGACCCCTACAAACACCATATGTCTGCGTAATGGGGAGGTAGGAAAAAAAGTAGAGAAAATGTATACATCTTTAATGCTTGCTGAACGTTTCATGCTTCTGCAAGAATCAGAGAAGTACGTCATGAATGAATCAGCTCCCCTTCCCCCTCCCTGAAACGTCTACCTGAAACGAGCCTCCAAATACCATTACCGCAGAACCCTGGTGCCACACTTATTCTGCTTACGGATTCCGTGTCTGTAATTAGGGCATATTGCTTATTATTCCACCAGCATGGCTAATTATTATTTAAGCTTTTTTTTTTTACCTCGGTACAGTTGTAAATTGCATAAAATGGAACCTGTGCAAATGACTGTGGTAGTGACAGGGATGTTCTACGGAGCGCTGTGTGTCTCTCTCTGGTTAGGGTTGTGTATGATACTACAAGTGATTAACTTTACCAGTATAGTAAACACTGTAATTAGTGCAAAACCAAATATCTTGTCGTCATCAATTACGATCTGCGAGGGTTTGTTGTTGTAGTCAATTACGGCACAAGATAGTTTGTACTTTGTGATTTGTCCGTCCCTAGCTTGTTACCTAGCTTGTTACGTGGGAAACCTTTCCCATCACACCTGATAATCAAGTCTGAAATGATCTTGTTATCTTTTATTGACACGGTTATGTTGTTTCTGGTCCCAATAGGTAGTTATTAGGACAAGTCTAACACACGCGTAATTGACTATGTTCAAGTCTACAATGAAGAAGGTCTTGTCTTAAGAAAGTAATACACTGAGGTATCATTCTGTATTAGTATAAACCACCCTTGGCCTTCAGGATCAAATAAACTTTGCAAGAAATGGTCATTAACTCATACACACCTGAAATTTCAAAATGGGCTATTCCAACATTTGAATTGGAAGAGTTTAAATGTGTCTTTAGAGGGGAAGAGCTCAAATGTGTTTTCAGGGGTAAATGAGTTAATGCAGATGTTTTGGTTCATTCAAATTCAATATGGCCGGCATGGTCTTTGACTTTGACTTTCGTTTTCAAATTCTTTTCTAGTTCAGAAACAAAAGTATTACTCGGTAGTAATACAGGCCCTAATACAGGCCCCATGGGCCTTTTTTGTATACAATTATTTTTTAAACGTAATTTGGTATCTGGAATTTTCCATATGTGTGTTGCCGATCTCTTTGTTTGAAGGGGTGAGTGCATAGTTTTATTCAGGGGTTTGGTTTGATGCAGCGGATGTGTGGTTTCATTAAGGAGTTAAGGCTATATGCTGTTGTTTTTATGATGTATATCTTCTTTTTAAAAGAGTTAATCCATTTCAAGACACCTGTAAACAATCAGCTGTCAACATCTTTGAAAAATGCCTAAAAATACTGGATTTAGTGTTTACTATAATTCATTACTTATTAGAATAATGTTTTTAGTTATTTTTTAAAAGAAATAAAAAAATGAGAATCCTGATATGTGAGATAGATTAGGCAAGCATGTATATCCGAAAGGAAGAATTGAGGTTTATTCTCCGGCAGACAACTTGTTTGTGTGTCAATCTTGTCCTGACTTTATATATTATGGGCCTTTAATTACAAGCCTGGT